TATTATTATTATTATTATTACTATTATTTTTACTATTAGTTATTATCATTTTATTATTAGTTATTGTATTATTTTATTATATTTTATAATAATTATGATTATTTATTTTTATCATTTTACTTAGTTATTAGTTTCACTACTCTAACTTTTTTTAGCAAATTAAACTTAAAACCCCATAAAAAACAATTGTATACCCACATTGACCTTTCCCAATTCCCAATTTTCACTTGCATAAAAAAGGTTAAATTATTTTAAACCTTTAGTTAAAAATTACTTTTAGTAATATATATTTATGTATAGTTTATAAAAAAGATAGTTTATAAAAAAGATTATTTATTTCCTTGGTTATAAATTATACTCCCTCCGTCCCCCATAGTTTTTCCCAATAACCCTTTTTCTTTGTCCACATTAGATCTTTTTATTTCATTTTTTAACAATTAAAATATTACAACTACCCCCATTTACTTTATTTATTACACCTCACTCACCTCATTTAATACACTCCATCCATTTTCATTAAGGGTATTATGGTAAACTTTTACCTTTTTTCAACTCTCCTTAAAAACCACCAAAAGTCAAAATGAAAACATCTTAGGGGGGCGGAGGGAGTACGTCTTAATTCATTATATTAATCTGAAATTTAACATCATTTTTATCGTTGTACATTATCTATAAAAAATTCCAGAGGCACCCGTCTTATTCTTATACCAAGTCTTCTCATTTTCTACATTACCCACTATTATGGCGGCTAACCAGTACGTGACTAATGTGAAAAACAACATGGAATGGCAAAAAATTATAGTAAAAGTACTAGTAATTGTTTTTAATTATAATAGTAATAAGTTTTATTTTAAATAATAATAAGTTTTATTTTACTTAAAAAATAGTGTAACAAAATACCAATTAACTTTTAATAATAATAATAATAAATTAAAAAAATAGAAGAAAAATAAAAAAATAAATAATAATTAATACAAAGTAATACTAATAAATATTATTATTTTTTATAAAAGAGTAAAGTAGTACAATTACTAATTAATTGATTTTAATAAATTATAGTATTAATAATAAGTGTTTTTTTATTATAAGTGCTATTTTTCTAAATAAAAATAATAGTAGTAGCTGTAGTAGTAGTAGTAGTAATAATAATAATAATAATAATAATAATAATAATAATAATACAAGAAGAAGAAGAAAAGAAAAAATAGAGGAAGAAAAAAAGGGGGGAGGGAATTGGGTGGGGGGTGGGGGTGGGGATGGCTGGTCTCTAATACGAATAGGAAAGAGAGAAAAGAAAAAGAAAGAAAAAGAGAAAGAAAGAAAGAAAAAACATAAAAAAGAAGAAAAAGATAACAGAAATAGAAACTAACGGAGGAATGGACGGATTGTCACCACCTAGTAAGTTTTTGGATAATTTAAGGTACTTCGGAGTATATTTAAAAAAATAATGGGACCTGGTAGTTCTTATCACAAAATCGAGGGTACCCGACAGCAATTTTTTGAATTTAAAAAGGTGAAATTTGCTTCAAATAACACCAAAACTTAACATTTTTTCATCTAATACTCCGTAGCACCGAACAAGTTTTTTTCCAAAACTAACTTTAAACTAATTTTTTTAAGCAATTATTAATAATATTCATTTACCAAAACGTCTTTGTATCTTTTTTCTCCTCTTGATCGATTCTCTCTCTCATTGACCCGTTTGCTAATATTTTCTTTTTTATGGACATTGTTCATTGATCCGAGATATTGTAATAATTATAAATATGTAACATTGTAAAAACTATATACATTGTTTACTGATTGGGGGCATTGACGACAAATGCAGTTAACATTTATAATTGCGAAAATGTTTCCTTTCAACCGACAATATATTTGCAATGGACATGTAGACATGCATTAAGAATGATTTTGGACATTGGCCCTGTTAGACATCAATGTTAGAGGTTAGTATTAGCGTTTTGAAAAAAGCTATCAGACGATTTCTTTTAGCGTTAGTAATTTCAGAATTAATCTAAACCATTAAAATCTTATCCAAAATGCTAACGCTAATGGAAAACATTGTTTCCGAACTAGACCAATATTAGAGTAAAACCATGAAAGTCATTAAATCATGCATAATGAGCATTAACAAAGTAACAACAAGACACTGACATTAGCATTTTAATTTGTGATTGGCTGCCGGCGAAGGATAGTACTATAGTAGTACAAAATGGGGCAGTAATATAAAATCATATAAAGAATATTTTAGTACACTAAAATTAATAATCAATTATTAATTAATTAGATAATAGTTATTGAAATTAAAACTTATCGTGATATAGGGATTAGGGAGAAATTCAATATGTTTTGCTTGTTCAAATAAGAGCATGCGCAGCGGTGAGGCATTTCCTCGCTCGCTGCGCCACATCAGCTCCCTCGCCACTTTTGTCTCGCGTGGCTCAGCCTCCCTCCACGCTAAGCGTGTGAGGCGCGAGGCATCCTCAATTTTTTTTTTATTTTTTTATTTTTTTATTTTTTAGAAAAATATTTTTTTTAAAAAAAGAGTACATCTATATAAAAAAAGATAAATGAAATAATTTTTAATAATTAAAATGCTTTAAAAAATCATAAAAATTGACAAAAACAATGACTTGCCACTGTACGAGATGCCTCTCCACTCACTTGCCACACGCTGACTGGATTGTCTTTTATTGGTTGAAATGTGTCATGTCAACCTGTGGCATTCCATTTGCCATTTGCCATTGCCCGTGTTCTAAGAAACCCATTCGAAAAAATTATCAGATTGTATATTTTTCCTTGTCATTTATACCCCCATACATATGAGTTTGCTTACTGCACATTCTTGCCGGAGGTCGATCCCTTCCGCTTTCCCTCTCGTCACTGATTCTCCTCCTCGTCCCTCTTCATGTAAGTTCACCTTTTATTTTAAGCTTTTCATTTTTCAATAGCTTTCAATATTCAAATTTTTATGGTTGGTTATACATAAGAAGAACTTCATGGTGGTAATTATGCAAATATAAATTGTTTTGAGGGATTCTACCGGATTTGCTGTTGTTATAAACTGTTTTGAGCTTTAGCAGTGTAAAAGATCTGAAATTTCAGCAGGTTATTCACTAGGGTTCATCCCCAATTTGCTGTGCAGTGTGAGTTCTGTATTCATAGCTTTTCTCTTAGGCCCCGTTTGGTACATGGAATTCAAACTGTGGAATTGGAATTGAGGACTTCGATTCCAATTCTGGTGTTTGGTAGCACGAAAATTATGTGGATTTGGAATTGATAGTGCAAAAAATGAATTGGAATTGGCAAAATTCGATTCTATGGAATTGAATCCCATGGAATTTCAATTCCAATTCAATTCCAATTCCGTCAATTCCGTATACCAAACGGACCCTTAATGCATTTGACTCAATGCATCAAATTCAATTACAATTTCTGTTGTTTATTTGTATGTTTCTTGCCATCCCCCATTGAGACCAGAGGAATAGTGGATTTGATGTTAGAGCTTTACCCAAGAAATTGAGAAGAAAAAGCCTAAAACGAAATGAGGATTACACGAAAGACGAAAATAGTTCAATCTCTTATGGTGGGGCAGAGGTAGAGGAATTTCAGAAAGCCCCGTCCAGGAGCTCTGTGCTTCGGGCATGCACTGTTACGTCTGGTTATATAGGCCTTTTGGGTCTTTTGATTCGTCAGGTGCAATTCATTCTTCTTCTTCATGAACATTTTGATACCTTATGATGGATTTCGAACCACTAGATCACATAATTAGTCACGTGTTGAGCCTCTCCCTCATTTGACCTGGCTTTGCCTGTTACTCCACATATGTCCTTCAGATGGGCCTCGCTTCCCGTTCGAGTCGCCCACGGCCCGTATCACGTGGGCTTATGCCTGACTTCCGGGCTGGGCTATTACGACCCATCTCATGTGAGCCCATTTGGTGGATTGGGCGGAGCTTGGGCCCAACAAACTCAAATATGGGCCAATCCCAATATGCATTTATTTAAAATTATGTGTAGTTTTGTATATGACCAAATGTTCCTCCCACTTCATTGTCTCTCTTGCATGTAAATGAGAAGCCGTTCTTGTAATTTAAGGCCCTCTCCTGCTGGATGCTTCTAAGCAAGAAGTTTCGTATTTATTTGAAAACTTGAAAAATCAGATTTTGGAAGCTATTAAAAGAGGTTTTCGGTTTTTTTTTTTTCAGTTTTTATAATTAAGGATATTTGTATAAGTGGTTTTGGGTTATATGCTTGTACAATGTATATCAAATGGCATTTACAGACATAAAATTAAAAACTGACAACTTGTAGCAACCCCTGGAAAGGGCCTTAATTAACATGATTAGTTTAAGCTCTGTTGATGAGATTTTGTAATTTTTTTTGGTTTTAATTACTACCAAACTATAATTTGTTAAGTCAATTTCATAAAGTGAATCTTCATCTTTTGTCATTACATTGCATTAGCGGTTCTCTCATTAGTCCATTCATAACGTCCCGTAGGAATTAGGAAAAAAACAAAATGAAAAAGAGAGAGTGAGAGAGAGTATATATCCATCTCAAGCTTACTTCAGTATGGCAGTAACTTACATCAAGGGCCCATTTTTTGGCTCCTGCAATATTTGAGTATAATGGAACCCTCACTTTATTTTAATGGTTTGCAGGCCTCTCATTTTGCATCAATTGGAGGATTGCCAATTGCGGACTGTGCTGTTGAAATATCTTGTAAGATTGAGTTCCTTTAACCTTTGACTAAGGCCACATTTGGGAATTAGCATTTTGGATAATTTTTTAATGGTGCATATCAACTTTGAAAATGCAAAAACTAAACGTTTCCATTCGATAACCTCTGTAAAATGCTAAGGACATGTTTGGTGACTAAAAGAGATAGGAGTTCTGATATCATAAATTTTTTTGGTGTTTGGTGAAGCCTAAAAAGGTCTTGGATTTGATATTGCCATATATTAAAACCCTCCTGAAAGAGGGAGTTTGATATTTCCCAAATTTGGGAGATATCAATATGGGGGTTTGATATCTCCCCCTCAACCGTCGACCACCCTCGCCACATGCTACCATCATCCGCCTGCCTTTCGCCGTTCATTTCTCATTGCCAACTCCCGTCTATCACTAAAAATCATGACTTCAAATATGTGCAAATACTTCCATTCAAAATCCATATCATTTCTCTTAGATTTCAAAATCTATATCATATAAATCCTCCAAAACTCACCAAATGGGCCCTAAAGCTGTTGGGCACTAAGGTGCTCGTAATGTAACTAATGTTGTACAACAAGCAAAGTTTTTTGTTTAATCGCTCTATTCTCTATTGATGGAATAATGGACAAAAAAGTAATACAGAGTTACACAAGATATAAATAACTATTTCTATTTATGTCTATCATCCCCTCTAAGCTAAGCCGAGTGGAAGCTAAGATTAGCTTGGATGTGAGACACTGGTAGCATTGTGATTTGTGAAGCGAAGGGCTCTGTTAGTATTCCTAGGAGACATGCTCTACCCGGCACCCGCATGAAGACATCAAGAACTTACCCGCGAAAAGTTGCAGTCAGTACCAACTTGCTTCATGCGTTTTTGAAACACAAGATTTTTCATAAGGTAGAGAGCGGACAAATTATCACAGTATAAAAGTGGGGTCGCTATGTGAACTCCAAGATCCTTTAAGATATATGTGAGCCGCTTATCAGATAATGTAATTTTCACAGTACGTAAAACTTACTAAAAGAACCCAACATATAATTTTCAGCTGGTAGATCTCCTAAAATCCAGTCTAGAGCTCTAAAAGCTAGGGAAAATAGAGTCCTAATGGGGAGTTCATCTTGCATTATGTTAGAGTGCATCCCACATCGGAAGTCCAAGAGTAAAATAATCCGATATATAAGCTCTTGAGTTAAACTAACTAATCGATTGGATTTAATCTTTTAATGTGGTTCAACCCAAGTGTCTTATTACCCAATCAAGTTGTCCATACCCATCCCAAATTCTATCACATTATAAATATTTGACTGATAGTTGGTTGGCTCCAATGCAGGGGGTTTGCAGTTGTGGCATCTTGAGTTTATTTTTGGGATGGTTATATTGGTATCATCATGCCGATATTTACTGCTAAAAACATGGCCAGATTTTGCTGAATCCAGTGAAGCAGCAAATAGACAGGTACATCTTTGTTTCTTAAAGTATACTCAGTATGATCTTTGTTTCTAAGCAGTTTTTTAAATATTTGTGAACAGATATATTATTCCATTTAGAAAAATGGTCAGCAACTCAGCATAGAGTACGTAGTTCCTGCAGTGTTTTTCGAAGGCTATGTTTGGAATGTGGAAAATGGTTGGAAATGAAAAAAAAAGTGCCAAGAAAAATACTAGTTTTTTATGCTTGATTTCACCTTGGAAACTACAAGGAAGATTAAATTTTTATTTAGTTTTTTTAGGTTTCTGTATAGTAGGATTATGTGGCCTTTATATGTTGGTCCCGTACTCCCTTCTCCCGTACTCACTTTGTTACCTTTTTGAAATTTTTACTTTTGGCAGGGGGGTTTAGAGCATGTTCTCTTCAACCTTTTCTTATTTTTATTACTTATTACTTATTCTTATTGGAATAAGGCTAGACCAGACCAAATTAGACGAGATCAAATCATAAACAACTTTGAATATAACTAAAAGCATACCAAACAAGATCAGATCAGACCTTAATAAAAACATGCTCTTACTCTGGTGTTGCACGAAGAACTAGAGTAAATCCATGTGAACAAGTTCAATCCTTTAGAATATGAACTTGAAATGCAGAAAATATAATGAGCTTTATAGCAAGCTTATGGGTTGTTAGCAACAGCCAACAAGTAAAGAAAGTTGGAAAGTAGAGAGAGACACGCAAACTCTAACGAGGTTTAAGGGTGGAGTAATCCTTCCACGTCCGCAAACTTTTACTACGTAACCGGTTCAATCACTACCAAATTACAAGTGTCACTGTTTATCCGAGTATCTTCGCAAGTCATGAAGTTGATACTACAGTGCGATGTCCTTATTATTCTTTCGAAGGTTGATGTAGCCTTCTTCAAGAGCCTGAGTGTAAGATATAAAACGAAAAACTCTAACTCTTTACTTGATAGATCTAGAAAGAAAAGTAGTTTGCATTGATTGCTCTCTTTTGCTAGAGTTTTATCTTCTATTGTTCTTTCTTGTATTAATTTCTTTACTTCATCTTCCCTTGAACTATGTGTGCTAGTATTTCAAACATTCCGTTGAAGTGAGATAATGTAAAATATGAATGTTTGTTGGCTCCATTGCATGAAAACATGGAGAGGTATGTCTTGAGTTGTTTCCTCTTTTGGAAGATAGAAAATAATATCTTTGGAGATTCCCTTCAGTCCTGTTGAGGATGCACTGTTTTGTTTATCCTTGTCATGTTAGGGAGTAGATGCTAGTTTTCTGTAAAGATTTACCATCACACTTCCATTCAACTTTTCTTTTCCTCTTTTTAAATTATGCAAATGATGCTTCAGGTTCTCACTTCGCTTGAACCCTATGATTACATTATTGTGTCATTTCTTCCCGGAATTAGTGAGGTAAACGTGGACACTTAATCCCTTTTACACCTTTTACTTTCCTTCGCATGGTTTTCATTTTATTAGATTTCTAAACTGATTCGAGGCCTTGATGGTTGTTTATATTGAACAGGAGTATCTTTTTCGCGGTGCACTGTTACCACTGTTTGGTGTCAATTTGCCAAGTGCTTTGGCTGTTGCTGTTGTCTTTGGAATATTACACCTGGGCAGTGGCCGAAATTATTCGTTTGCAACCTGGTATTTTATCAATTTGAAATCCTTAATTCGCCAGTTTAGATTCCGGAGTTCAAAATATGTTGCAACATCCTTGACACATGCATCCTTGGTGTTGGGATTTGGGAAGCAACCCTAAATCCCTCACCGGGTGGCCAATGAGGAATGAACCAAATTATTAATAACTCACCTGACTCCATTAGTATGAGGCCTTTTGGAACAGAAAATTACTCGCGGGTGACGCGAGTTTTGTCAAAATAACTTTCAGGTCCCTCTATTTTCAAAAAGACAACCGAGGTTCTTATATTTTGTTGTAATGACTGGGAGGGGACATTTCATCCAATACATCATCCGTAAGTGTTAAAAAATGTATTTTTTTCCTATTTTTCCAATACCGTTTTTTCCTATTTTGCCATTACCTTGTTTTTTCTTTTTTTAAAATTTTTTTTATTTCATGTGTTTTAATATAATACAAACAATTTTGAATTTTTATACAATTTTATAGAAGAAATTCTAAAATAACACTTTAAAAATAGTAACAAAATGAAAGAAAAACAAAGAAATAAAAAAAAAGCGACCTAAGATTTATTACCTTAAAACATTTAGAAAATAATAGGAAAAAAATACATTTATTAACGTTTATAGATGAAATATTGGATGAAATGTCCCCTTCCAGTCATTACAACAGAATGTAAGGACCTCTGCTGTCTTCTTGAAAATAGAGGGACCTGAGAGTTATTTCAACAAAACTCGCGTCACCCGTAAGTAATTTTGTGCTTTTGGAAGGTGCCAAAAAAAAAATCCATGAGGGGTTATCCTAAAACGGACAATATAATACGAATGTGGAGTTGAAGTGAGAGCAGACACTCCTATCACTTAGGAAGCTTGGAGTGTTTAAAGTATGAGCTTCAATTACCATATGATACCATTTTAGGGCAACATTTGTGGGGCTTGTCTATGGGTATGCTACAATCGCAACATCAAGTATTGTTGTTCCAATGGCTGCTCACGCGCTGAATAACTTGGTCGGAAGCATCATATGGAAGACCACATCAAGTCATTCAAGGTAGACAGGTAAAGTGTGCATTGTACTTCTTTTCATGTTTTACAAGTTCACTAAAATGGTCATGAGTTGATCTGTTGAAATTGTGACCTTAAAAAATATAGCAAGATCCAATGCTTAAAAATTGATCAAGTTGAGCACATTATGTTGTACACTTGTACATATAAGCAAACCAAACCTGGTATAATTAAAAATACCAAATGATCTAAGGGTCCGTTTGGTATATGGAATTGATGAAATTGGAATTGAATTGTAATTGAAATTCTATGGGATTCAATTCCATAGAATTGAATTCACCAATTCCAATTCATTTTTTGCACTATCAATTTCAAATCCATATAATTTTTATGTTACCAAACACCTGAAGTGGAATTGAAGTCCTCAATTCCAATTCCATCATTTGAATTCCGTGTACCAAACGGGGCCTAAGATATGATGCTTAAATAAATTTGAACTTATGTCACTAAAAGCTTATGTTCAATATAAACTTGTTATATCCATACTTTGATGAATTTTGTCTACCGAACACTTTAAACTTCTATTGGGGTCCGTTTGGTATACGGAATTGACGGAATTGGAATTGAAATTCCACGGGATTCAATTCCATAGAATTGAATTCTGCCAATTCCAATTCATTTTTTGCACTATCAATTCCAAATCCACATCATTTTTGTGCTACCAAACACCAGAACTGGAGTTGAAGTCCCCAATTCCAATTCCATAGTTTGAATTCTGTATACCAAACAGGGCCTCAGAGATCTTTATACGAATTTCAAATTATATTTTGGAATGAAAAAAGAAAAGTATGGATCTACTTTGAGGATGGAAGAAGTAATAAAAATTATTCGGTGTAAAGTTGCGAGTATGTGGCATGTGATTACACAAATAAGGTGGCACGGAAGTAATATAATAAAAATATATATTCGTACATTATTAGATTAAGTTATTCCGTATAGCCGGCTGCACGGGAACAATCCTACAATTGCCCGATCAACCACGCAATTGCGTTTGAGATTGATCGATCATGAAGGACTGCATCGAAACGTTAGTGGCGATCACAAAGGAAGTGGAAGAGAAGGGAACGTTGTGTGAGATCTGCGGTGAGACTGGAAAAACAGCGAATGGACTGCGGCGTGTCAGCTGTCAATGGGGATGAAGGGCAAAAATGGGCAAGAGATAGGTGAATGTTATGAAATGAGTATATTACTGGTTAATGAACACTTTCTATAATTAAAATGAACATTATTTGGTTTGTAAATGAGTACTCCATAGTTAACCTTTGTTTATATGAGAAAATAAAATAGAAGGAACAAAAATGATGTGAAAGAAAATGATGATAAAAGAAAATAGAAGTAAAATAATACGGGTAGTTATTTGAATGATGATAAAATGATGAAAAAAAGTGAAAAGAAAGAGAAAAAATGTTACCCTCTCCGTCTCTGAGTATTTGTTCGCTTTTAAATTTTTTTTGTCAAAGTAAATTTTGACCTCAAATTAAATAAAAATGATATTAAATATTGATATAAAAATAATTTTATAAGATTTAGTATATCAAATATTTTCAAAATATTATTTTATCTAATTAATATTAAATATATATTTTATTTAATCATAGGTCAAAAGTTGAAAATTTTTAACCGTAAAAAAAATCAAAATTGAACAAATCATAAAGATAAAATGTACTCCCTCTGTCCTAAAACTTTCTTCTCAGTTTGACTTTTCTTCATTTTTAATTTTTGGCTTTGACCTCAAATTTTATCCTCCTTAAAAAAGATTTTTTGAAAATTTTTTTTGCAATCATTCAAAATAGAAAAAATTATCCAAAATAATCCCAACTTTACCCGGTCTTTCAAAAACAATCCCACCTTTCACTGTGATGCATAATAATCTCAACTTTACTGAAATTTGCCAGTTTTGGGTCGCCGTTAAGTTTCTAACGGAGGGTTAACGGAAATGCCCGTTTTAGGCAACAAAATGAAAGTTAGAATTATTTTTGATGAATTTTAATTATTTTTTATTTTTTTTTAAATTTTTCATTTAAATTTTTTAAATTACTTTCTACCTCCATCATCATTTATTTTTCCTTTTCTAAAGATTAGTCTTAGTTTAAAAAATATACAAAATAGATATAAAAAATGAAAAAAATGAGAAATGTAACTAAAATGATACGGAGTACAAAAATAATAAAATAAATAAGGTAATCAATGGAAACTAACTTGAAACTGGTAAAAGTAAAATAAAAATATACGGGTGGGTTTTCATATTTTGTGCATTATACAAAGTATTAACATATCATTTCTTATTTTTTAGAAAAAATAATCTACAATAATTCCAACTTCACTAGACGGCTTGTGCTTTTAAAAAATAAGTAGTACATTGAGACTCCGTATAGTGTGTAAAATGTTAAAATCCACCACTCTGTATATATTTATTTTATTTCTTACCAGTTTCTGTTTAATTTCTATTGATTACATTATTTATTTGATTAATTTTGTATGGTTTTAGTTATTTTTCTCATTTTCATTATTTTTTATATCTATTTTTTCTAAGGTACGAATAATCTTTAAAAAAGAAAAAGAAATGGAGGTTGAAAGTAATTCAAAAAATTTAAATAAAAATTTCAAAAAAAAATTAAAAAACAAAAATCATCAAAAATAATCCCAACTTTCATTTTGTTGCCTAAAACCGGCATTTCCGTTAACCCTCCGTTAGAAATTTAACAGCGACCCAAAACTGGCAAATTTCAATAAAGTTGGGATTATTATGCATCAGAGTTGATGGTGTAAATTACTTGACCGGTCAAACTATACTAGACCGGGTCTAGAATAGTTGGCTTGATTTCGTAAAGTAAATAAAGTAAAAACACTCGGAACGACCGGTAGGACTTTAGGTGGAACACCTGTAGCCCGAATTATATTAAAACAAGGAATGCACGGTCACTTTTACAAGGGAGTTTAGAGAGAGTGAATTCGGATCCCCCTCCCTGAGGTTTACATGCGTATTTATACTAGGCTAAAGGGGGACAAGACCGCGTGCACCCACGTGGGATCATGCTACCGCAGGTGGGAGGTGACTGCTGAGCTGCCTTGTCCTTTTGCGCGGGGGGCTGCGCCTTTGTCGCGTTCTGACTTGGAAATGTTCCTTCGGCATCTCTGCAATTCCAACCACTACAGTCCAAGTCCTTTTGGATTCCTCCTGCTGAAACTCTCCGATCTTCGGAAACTAGACCGGGTGATCTTTTAGGGTTGGTTTGGCTAACTTCGGAGGATGAATTTAGGCGATGGAATAGTTTGACCGGTATACTAATCCGAAGTATACCGGTCAACTTTCTGGTCAACCAGCCATTCTTTTGCTGACGACTCAGATCTCCCTTTCAAGTTTGACTTCTTTGACCGGTCAACTTTCGGATTCGGACCCTTGACCGGTCATGGGTAAAATACACCCATCAAGAGTGAAAGGTGAGATTATTTTTGAAAGACTGGGTAAAGTTGGAATTATTTTGGGTAATTTTTTTCTTCAAAATATAGAGTTAGAAGATAATTGGTGTAAATAGATGCATTTGTCATCTTTTTTTCTAATGAGAAGGTAGTTTTAGGACGGATTGGAGTATTAGAAATTGTATTTTCTGGCTTACATTTTCGTTTCCTCCAATTGCCCGCCACAGTGACCAGACCACAGTACCACACCATTTGCTCGCCCAACTCCCAAATGTCACATCTTCTTGGAGGAATCGCCGCCGCTCCATTCATCTTCAAGCCCAGGGCCGTCCCCGTCTCCGCTTCTGCATCTTTCCGCAACCAATCTTCATCCCCGCATGCTCTCGATGCGACCTTCATCAAGCGGGCCTCGGAGCTCGCCGACAAATCCGCCGGATTCACCGCCCCTCACCCCAATTTTGGGTGCGTGATCGCTGCCACCGTCGGCGGACGGGAAGCGGCTGAGACGGTGGGAGAGGGCTATTTTTATGCGGAGGGGACTGCGGCAGCCGAAGTGCAGGCTGTGGAGGCTGCAGGGGAGCGGTGTAGAGGCGCCACTGCTTACCTGAATATGGAACCCGGCGTCTCCTGCGGCGATACCACCGCCGCAACTGCTCTTATCCAGGTAGTTTTACATACTGATTTGACATTGTTCCTCTTCATTTGCGTGCTTTCACAGCAGTTGAAATAGTCAACACTCTCAAGCCCCCAGGCCCCAAGTACATAGTGAAGAGAGAATCATGTAACCTCTAGATTCTTATTTTTATCCGGGACAATTATACACCAAAACCAGAAAATCTAGATGGTATATTTTACTGCTTATAACTCATCACCTAATTTTGAGTGGTTTTTAATTGCTTTCATGTTTTTACTGAAATTATCATTTTTAATTATTTCTGATGAATAATCTGTGAAAATTATTACTATCATTATTATAAACTAATATGGTTAAGAAATATTGTTGCTATTGTTACTATTATTTGTTCTCATAAACTATTAAAAATGACTTTATTATTATTAATATTATACTTTATCCCTATACTCCCTCCGTCCCAAGTTTGATTACAAATTGGGATTTACGAGGTAAAGCCCCGTATCTTTTGAAATGATTTCATTTACAAATTGTTACATCAATAAAAATTATATATTAAAAACCTACGTCAAAAGTTCTACAAAATAAAAGGTGACAAGAATATTTTATTTTATCCAATAATCAATGAAAACACAAAAATAAACAAAAGTTATCGAGAGGTGAGAGAAAAAAGGTTGTAGTTTAAATTGGGATGGAGGGAGTATTTATTTGTATATACACAATGTCAATGTATTTGTAAATGACAAAAAATGTGACTAGCATTGAACCAAAAACGATTAACATTTAAACACAAGTGATACTCCAATGTTAAGTCTATATGCGACAATGGATTAAGTACGATTACAAATCCAAATCATGAGATATGTGTCAAAATTTGACTTTCCAAAGGAGTGATTTTGACTAACTATTAAGCATTTTGTACAATACAGAATCTATGAAAATAAGTACCATTATGGAATTTAATTTTAATTTTCAAATAGCTATCAAATTTAGGTGTTTGGTTTGAGGATTAAAACCAATGATATTAATAGTAATAACACATTTAACACATGTTGATTAGGCAGGAATTGCAAGAGTTGTGATTGGGATTCGTCATCCTTTGCAACATCTTCGGGGAAATGCAATTCGTGCACTAAGAAGGGAAGGCCTGCAAGTAGATGTGATAGGGGAAAACCTACATGGAAAAAATTTAGAGGTAAATTATTTGGTTCTTACATTATAGGATACAAAGATTCATTTGATTATATTTGGTCTTAAGAAGTGCAATTGATAGCATGAATGTATCCTTAAATGATTAAGTTCCACTATAATCAGCATGCAGTCTTCATGCCCGAATAGAATGGTTATACCTTTGTATGTACTACCTCTACCCTTCTTTTGTCTTCCTACATTCTTTTTTTTGCCGTCTTTTTTGTCTTTTCAGTTAAATAGTTTTATTATTTTCTAAATAAATCTCTACAACAAAAGTTTTATTTTCTTGCTCTTTGCCAAGTTAAATCCAAAGCATTAAATGGGGATGGAGGGAAACTATTAAGCTCCCAAGATTACATTTTACTTCTCCCTCGATCTTTATCCATGTACAAATTTTCAGAGTTTGTGTTTGATGAAAACCTAATCACCCTTTATTGTCATGTCCCTATCATAGTTTTGATCCTTCTCGTTGTTCTGTAGCATGTTAGGCCATGAACGTAAATGTATGCAACTCTATGTATATTCTCTTTGAGGGTTGTTGGGCATTTCATGATATCCATTTTGAACTGCAAAAAAACATATCAATATCCCTTTCATACATATGTGATCCTTACAATTTTAGGGTGAGACTCACGCACATAATGGGTATGCTTAGTTTGGTTTAACTTCACTTTTTGGTCTGCGGTGTCTGGCTGAAATTATTGAAGTTATTTTCAATTCACTTTGTTTAAATAATGTTGTAAAATTTAAAAATTCAAAAATAAATACTCAAAAATTTTATGGCTATGTTTGAAGTCTTCTAGCATTTTTAATAAAAAATTGGGTTCTAATTTTGTCATTGTGCATTTTTCAGGAAGCTCGTAAGTCTTGCCTTATCGTCAATGCGCCTTTGCTCTATGGAGCTGCTTGCCATGTTCCTTATTCTGTTCTTAAATATGCAATGACTCTTGATGGTGAAGACATGCCTTTACCATTTTGTTCTAGTGGCTTTATACCTTATGCAACTAATGTTTACAAGTTACGACTTTACATACTTTAACAGTTTATAGGGAAACCAACTCTTAACAAACCGGAACATCAGCTAGTTTTCTGTAATGACCAGGAAAGATTGCTACTAGTAGTGGACATGCATCTTGGATTAGCAGCATAAAGTCAAGAAGCCGAGTTTTTGAATTGCGGGGACGAAGTGATGCTGTCATTGTTGGAGGAAATACTGTTCGTAAAGATAGTATGCTTCCATTTAGCCTTTCTCTTGCACTTCCACAGGAATTCAAAAACATATCACTGCCCCTTCAGTGGGGATGTTAAAGGTATTCTAGTGCTGGTGCACCTAACACAACTTTGGTGTTTAGATCCACGATTGACCGCAAGACATGGAGGTAGCCATGTACCAAATAGAATTGTGATGTCGCAAACTCTAAGTCTTCCTGAAGAAGCCAATATTTGGGATGTTTCTGAAGCCCCAACTGTAGTTGTGACACAAAGAGGTGCTAGAAGGAGTTTTCAAAAAGTGCTGGCCTCTAAAGGCGTTGAAGTAGTAGAGTTTGACATCCTAGATCCACGAGATGTTACAGAGTACTTCTATGATCGTGGTTACCTCTCAGTATTGTGGGAATGTGGAGGGACATTGGCGGCTTCTGCAATTTCATCTGGAGTCATACACAAGGTATACTCTGGCAAATTCATTTTTAGTACTAGTAAGTAAATTCAAGACATTCTTTTGCATCCCTGCAGTGTTCTCAGTAAACAAATTCAATAACAAAGTTTAGGAAAAAGATATGTGATCTTTCCTCCAAAATTTGGCAAAATTATGTGTAGTATAAAAATCAACTTTCCTCTTCAAACGTGTTTTTAATTTTGGTCTAATCTTGATGCAGGTCCATGCTTTTGTTGCACCAAAAATTATAGGTGGGAAGAATGCACCAACTCCAGTTGGTGATCTTGGGATGGTAGAGATGACCCAAGCTTTGGACTTGATTGATGTTTGCTATGAACAGGTCCATTTGTCGTTACACCTATACTGTGAAACTTTGTTTCACACGTGATTGCTGTGTTTCTGTATGGCTGGATTTGCTCTTTCTTCTATGTTACATTTGTTGGGCATGCATGGAATCTGTATAACATGACTGATATAGCTTCTTTTATTTAATGTATTAATGCTTGAAACTATCGAAAACTGTTTAGGGGTAACAGACTAGCAGTGTAGCACTAGTTGGGCTAGTATTATGTATGACTAGCTCAACTACCCCAAAGCATACAAGTCAAAATAATGAGTTTTTAATACAAACAGATTCAAGTGGGATTTTCAAATAAATCATTAGACAAACTAGGCAATTACACTTTTCACCCCTAGCCGTACTGTGCTGTGACTATGTGATTGTTCTCCCATGTTTCAATCACTTTAATTGGGTATATAGTGTTTCCACCCTTTTACAATTGGGTCATGCTGCCAGCCTGCCACTGATCTGTAAGGAAGCCGTATGGGCTAGAACTGGACTAAAATGTGTCCACCACATGGGAGTTTAAACACCAACATGTAGATACATCAGCAGATGCTACAATAATACGTAAATGAGTTTTGGCTGGTTCAACCGCTCGATTGTCCACTTCTAATAAACGTGATTGACCCAATTCTGGATCATCTTCTGGAATCGTATAACTGTCAAAAGTGAGAGACTGTTCATCGGAATTGTTATAATCCGAATACTCATAAGGTTGGGGCGACGCCCGCCTCCCCCCAAACTGTAATTGCAAGTTTCCTCGCAAAAAGCTCACCACGCCTACTCTTAGAAAGACACTTTTTTCTTTAGTTAGGTAGATCTCCCGAATGAGTGTAACATTTAGTGCCAGTCAAAGATGACGTGTCTTACCACAACTTCCAATAATCCAAGTGAATACTACATCTTTGAGTATCATTGCCCTCACCTTAAATGAAAATAGGTTGGGTTACATGTTTCTCTTCAACAACAACAACATAGTAAAATCCCACTAGTGGGGTCTGGGGAGGGTGAGCCCCTAAGTGGGAAGTAGAGAGACCATGCTTCCCTTCAATAGAAATAATATAGAACTATTCAAAATATGTTTTATCTACATGCTCACTGCTGAATATTTGGTTTGCAGATTGGACCTGACTTGCTCGTTAGTGGATTTCTTCATCCAGTTCCAGACCTCACTCCAGCTATTCCATCTTTAGAAGAAGCTTCTGAGATTGATCCTTCAATTTCTCCTTATGAGTCGAGTGTCATATTTTTTTATAAAACATGGGAGCAATATGGTTTCTTTTCAAACTTTTCTAGCCACCCAATTCAAATGCCCGATGAAACTGGAAATAGTGTCACGTGGTCTAGTGTGGAGCATTATTACCAGGTAACTTCATTGACAGTTTAGAGTTTCTTTCAATTTCTGTCTTACACTCTTTTCTTAGAGCTTTCTTCAATTTTTAGGCACATAAATTTACAGGGGTGGCTGATCCTGTGGCTCAAAAGCATATTGAAGATATAAAAAATGCAAAGAGCCCTGAGGAAGCTGCACGACTGGGAAGGAGGTTACAGAAGCAACGTCCTGACCTGGTAAGGCTTCATATATTGCATAAATGCCCACATGGAAAACATAATGGATTCTTAAGAGTTAGGGATGGATATCATCACCACCACCTGAATCCCAACTAATTTCTATCAGCTGTCTAAAGTTGATTTATATAGACAATATAAATTACTGCAAACATAACAGTGTTTGTGTTTTACACGTAATGTCGTTCCCATTTTAACTTCTTGCTTTTTTCCAAGGAATAACTAGATGCAATTAGTTATGCCTTTTCCACGTGAAAAATTTCATGATGCTGTGATTAGTTGATGCAGTACACTTATGCTCACGACTCTGTATGATTGATATTGTAAAATCGTACGGGTTGTCTGGCCTTGTGGTTTAAAGTTAATAATTACTCTGAGTAATCATCACTGCATATTCTTCCCTGAGCTTTCTAGGTATGTGCATGCAGGTAAGACTAGACTGGAATTCCATCAAGCTTGATGTCATGTACAAGGCCCTGAAATGCAAGTTCACAACATACCCACATCTAACCTCTTTGCTGGTTGCGACAAAAGGATCAGTTCTTGTAGAATCTTCACCCCACGATCTCTTTTGGGGAGGAGGCCGCGACGGAGAAGGCCTTAACTATCTTGGCAGACTGCTGATGAGGCTGAGATCTGAGCTTTTAGACAACAGTCCAATGTCACCTCAAAACTCAGTTGATCATCATCAGCCACATGCATAAAAAAACTCTGAGGTAACTTTATGCATGACTATTCATCTTTCTTTTCGTGTTGTGTTATACAAAAATCTGAATGATGATACCCGAGTATTATTCTGTATCAAATGGAATAAACCAATTATGACCAAAATGTGGAAAACTGCATCGTTTTCTCTTTGATTTGTGTCAAGTATTTGTGGTTAATCTTTGGGAGTGCCACTAATTGTTGATTAGTTTTGTCACAATTTGCCACTAGTGCAGATGGATCTTATGCAGAAGATCAATCCCATACATAACTGTTGTCTGGCATCACAAGCTGATATAGTGCAGATTTGTCACAGCAGGGTGGACAAACAACAAGTAAGCATATTCTAAAATGCAAAGCATTCATCAAGAAAGTGGGAGTGATTTCCAAACCCTTTGTCTTGGATCTTCAATTCAAGTGATCCATGTGGTATCTTGCCATACTTAAACTACTTTCAATTTAACAATGAAACAACCCAAAAGTGGGTCTTAAATGTATAAAACAGCCAGTTCATACTGATTTATACCCTTCAGTGGACGGGTTACTTTTTGGATAATGGAGATATGTAATGTCACCATAGTTTATTTGACATTGGAATCTAATGTCATATTATGACATTGAGGTCTCTTAGGGTGTTTTGTTGGACCCATAAGTGGTCATACTCCCTAGCCCCCTTCCCAGTTCCCCATCCTCTCCATTTTACCAATTTGACATTGAACACTCTCCGGGATAAGTTTGCACAAGGGAACATTCTGTTCAACTTGTTTTTCTGCTTATTACTTATTCTTATTATAATCAGATCAGACCAGATCAGAAACTGTTTTAATTATAACTGCAATCAGATCAGGCAAACGGAAAATAACTCTTAACTTAAGATTTGTGATTAAAAATCATTCCAAATCATATTACTAGAATATAATACGCTTCCCAAAACCCATCTTAAGACCAAAAAAATGAATTTCGAATAAATAACAATGCACTATTTAAAAAACTCTCTAAAAAAGTAATAAATTCATGTTTTTTTACCATTCAATAATGAAAATGAGATCCAAGCAACTACACAAGGTGCATTTACTGCCTATAATAGATATGATTTGAAAGGAATTAATTCCCAAATCTCTTGTCATAATCCATCTTTCATGCCTTGTTCCATGTGAATCTCCATTTGGCCCTAGCATATCCTTTGTTTTATACTCCATATCAAAGTTTTTAAACATGACATGCAATGTTTTTCCCCCTTAAATTCAAGCTAATTTTATTAAAGAAACTTATGATAAGGTGCATTACAAATCCGCGACGTAAACATAAAACTAATAGAGTCCTGCTCAAGTGACATTGGATTTTAATGTCATAGGATATCTCGGGACATCTACGGTGCCGACCGGTCTTTTGACAAAAAAAAGTAAACAGATAAAAGAACACACAAGAAACACATTACTCGCAAATCACAAACTAACTTCCAGCTAATAAACAAATAGTTCACTAATCTGCACCGTGGGTATAATACTTTTATACCAACAGTTGAATACTACCCCCTCTATACCACAATGAATCTCCAACTTGTTTTATTTGGATGTCCTAAAAAGAATTCACATTTCCAATATTTTTAAAAGAAAGAAATATGTGGCACACAAAAGATCAATCTTTTTTAAATAAATTCTAACCTACTAGTATGATGGAAAAAACTTTCACATTTCCTCTTTTGTTTTTTCAAAAAGCTTTGTTTTTTCACATTTTTTTAAAAATAAAGAATGATTATACTTTGTATATTTACATAATTTTCTCCTCCTTTTTATAACACTCAACCATTCAATTTAACTTTTTTTTCGATTATAATGTTCAGCCAACTTTGAAATTTTAGTTTAGAGTAAATTCTAATCGATTTTTCATAATGTTCAGCCAACTTTAAAAGTTTAGTTTAGAGTTATTATAATGTTTAGCCAACTTTGAAATTTTAGTTTAGTGGTAATTAGAAATCACCAATGATTTCTAATTACATGTGATTTTTCATATTTAGTCTCTAATTTTAAAATATTACATAATTTTTTCTCAATTTTTGAAAACTATTCCTTTTTATGTCTTTAGGGGACTATAAGTGGAAAAAAAATTTGTCTTATTTAGCCTAAATGACTATTTATACAATAATTTTCAAAAATTAAAAATAATTGTGAAATCATAGAATTTGAAACTAAATATAAAAAACTATGGGTAATTAAAAATCATTTATGAAATTTATTCTTTAAAATTTATAACATGGAGAGCAAGTCCTAAACATATCCAAGGCTCATAGTCAAACAAAGAAGCAAAACGGCAAAGACACGTGCTTCTCAAAGAAAAAGAGGTCGCGGAGTATTTTTCCTCTCACACGCATTTCAACAAACACTTTAGACATGGACATTTCATAGATCAACAGCAGCTCTTCAATGCTTGGGAGTAAAACAATGGCGACCTGTGCTGTCAAGGGAGGATGCCCGAGTGACTACATAGCCACCTCCATTGCTACCGCTTCCATACTAATGTGATTTCTTGCTCCAAACTTTTGTTTTCTTCATGGACCCTGCACTTATAGTTCCTACTCGAGAGTTAGGGTTTGAGGGTTCTTGTGTTGTTCCATTTACTATTTGATTTTAGTTTGCACTCTTTTGGTCTTCATATGCTCGTGGGTCTGAAATGAGTGTTAGCTATAGGGTGGTGATTTTGAAGGCCAATTGGCACTGGGTGTTGTTTCTTTGCTCTTTCTGGTGGTTATGCTGTGGTGTTATAGGGTTTGATATCTTGTACCAAGTGGTTTCTAGTTTGATCATCGATAAAGACGATAATCGAATTATGGTTGATTATGTTATGTTCTAACAAAATTTGATTGTAGACTACTTGGAAGATCGTTGTCGCCGTACCTTATTCACAAAATCCCTAGGCCTGGAGGAAGTAGCTTTTGGCTTGTGGCAATTCAAGTTCTTGCAAGTTTCAACCTTTTGCTGTCAATTGTGGTAATGAATGAGGCTTTTGCTACTGTTATATTCCGTCTTACCGGAGCAAGGCTTGCTTGAATAATTCTATGGCATTTTCAGATGTCTCTCCATTTCCTAAAATTCGGAAAGAGGCGATGGTGGACATCGTGCTATCTTTGGGCAGGTGAATTACTATCTCGTGATTAGCAGTAGAGCTTTTGGCGCACTTGCCTAATGCATCCTGTTTTACTTCTGTTTGCAAAGAATGATGATTTGGTCAAAATTGCATTCCAGTCTGGGTAGAGGGGCCGCTTGGTTTTGGGTTGCTGTTGAGCTGCCGCATTGCACAGGCATTTCACCTATATTTTGTCTTTGTGAAGTGAGTTTGCTTCTTTAAACTGACTGCTGCATTTTTACGAAATGCCAACAGACTGATTTTTTTTGGGATTCAAATAATGAACTTATTAATTTCATGTATAGACCTACTGGCCGGACCATTCAACATCTCCTGTCCCCTGGAGCAAAAAAAAGAAAAACAGAGTAGAAAGAATGGAACTTTAGCAGAATAGAAATTTGGTTTAACACATACAAATTTTGGAGTACAATGAAGTGAAACTTATAGTTGCTATAACAATTTTTGTTTTGATTTGGGCTGGGGGCACAATTGAAGTGGTTCACTTAGAGCCTTCCTTTAAATTGCTGTGCAGTTTATGAAGCTATTTTTTCTAATGTTTTGTTTTAATCTTTATCCTTCTTGAATGTTCCAGGAGACGTCTGCCACCCATTCGATCCTATATATTCCTCTCATTGATTCTCTTGCCATGGATTGCTGGTGGCCTCTGTAAGAACGAAAAAAATGATTTTCTAGTTTCCCTGGGCTCATATGTGCTTCATGGAAGATGCCGAAAATCTTTTTCCTTCTACTTGAAGTCTTGCGCACTTTAAATTTTTCTATGCAATTAGTAATCGTTCATTCTATTGTTGCTACCATATATTTATTTTGTCTTCCAACGGTCCAACCACATTGGAAGAATTATGCACATTGTCATTAAGCAAACTGGACTTTTCCATTTTTTTCCTTTTCTACCCTTCCCTCACCCCTATACTTAAACATGTTAAAAGTGTTAATGTCTTGCCAATTTTAACATCTCTCTAGTTTAACACATACTTAATTACTCATACTGAAGGGAATTCAATATGCTAGGGTTTGGCACTTCCATTCCTTAATCTATTACGCAATTTAGTTGGTTTTACAAATTTCTGTAAAATTATTTTCATCTTTTCTCTATTTTAAAAAAGAAATAGAGAAACTTCATTTCGTATGTTTTTTTTTAAACTTCAAGAGTTCAAGTGACATATATTTCTTACCGACTTGCTCATGTCAAGGAACAACAGTGTATGTTTTTTCTAAAGCCTGCCGTGTTTTTCTGCAGTTCTTTACAAAGAAAAGCCTTTGAACAACCATTGCCACATGGGGATTCGATGGATCATACCAGTTATTTCCCTTCACGTGTTATATGTTGCCACTTTGATGGGTTTTACAGGAGCTGTTCGTCACATAGAGTTTAGATTCGAAGAGCTGAAGGCCCTTTGGAGGGGAATTCTTGTTTCCACTGCTGCCATTGGTATATTTCTATTGAAACTTCTTTTTTTGTTTGTACTTTGCACGCATGTATATTATGCTAGGGCTCGTGAAAAGGTTATGTTACATGAATACACTCAATAAATGACTTACTAGGCATTTGCAATTCAGCATTATGATATGCTTTTTCCTGTGAATATATGTGAGTAAATAATCACTTTACTTTTTTGGTGTTCTTAGGAATTTGGGTAGTTTCCTACATTCTGAATGAGATTTATGAAGAAATAACTTGGCTAGAAGTTGCCTCTAGATTTGTATTATTAATTATGGTAAGATTTCTATACATTCTATGATTTTAATTTGTCATTGACAAAGTAGTTGTTTTTCTGATAAAGTTTTGGTTTGTATCTCATGCCAGACTAGTGTGCTTGTGTTGTTGTTTTTCTCCTTTTCAATTTCTCAACCACTCATCTCGCTTATGAGCTTGACAAAGAAGGACCAAAAGGAGCACCAGACAATGGGTCAGGCACTGGGTATACCGGATAGTGGGCTTCTATTTCAAAATGAGTCATCATGGGATTTCAACCCTAATGAGCCTTTGGATAAGCTTCTAATAAACAAAAGATTTCGTCAGTCCTTCATGGCGTTTGCAGACAGGTATACTCTTTTTTTTAATGTCAAGGGTCTTATGTTTCTCAAGTACTTTAGAGAAGATATGAGCATTAGGTAGCATCTTACTAATATAAATTGATGGAAAACGTATATTGAGGGTGTTTGTCTTTGCTTGAAGTTTTTTAAAAGGGATTGCTTTGAACACAGTCCAAAAGCACCTCACAAATGATTCTCTTAGAATTTGCGAATCACACACGAAAAGCATTGCCAAACATTACCTAAATGCTTCTATCCGGTGCAGAAGCTTAGAATTAGTCATCAAAAGCAGTGCCAAACACCCTCACGATATGTTTTTTCTTCTGTAAAACGCATCTGCATTATATATCACCTTCATACCATATTTATGAAGGTGGGTGTAATCATCGGAAAACAATGTAGGTATTCTTATGCTAT